GCCGGTGAGCACGATGCGGCGCAGCGTCCTCACTCTGTTGATGGACTGCGACAGGCTCGTCTTCTCGTTCTTCAGCAGGTGGCCCTCGTCGCACACCACCAGGTCGGGACCTACACATGGAAACAACAATTTATACATAAAAAGCAAAAAAACATCAATTTGGTATATACTTAATAAAAAAAAAACCATGTTACGTGCATGTGTAATAAGTTTCAAATTATCACTTTTCTAGTTCTCATCGTGATGGCAAAACTGTTTTATTAAGTGATTCTTAGTAATATTATAAATGCGAAAGTTTAAATGGATGGATGGATGTTTGGTAGAGATTTGCCTAAACTGCTGAACGGATCTCGATTAAATTCAGCATAGATTTAGAGTATAGCCTGTAAGAACATATAAGTTACTTAATATTTTTTTTAAATTGCACGTGACGGGAATCGCAGGCGTAAGCTCCCTATCATAATGAAGTCCAATTATCTTTACTTCCTTTACAAATAAAAAAACTGTAGAATAATTAGTCTGTATCCTGTCAACCATACCAGGGTCAACGAGGCTCTCCTGGAAGGTCTTGAGCATCTTCTTCTTGAACTTCTTGGAGTTGTCTGCGGAGAGGTTGCGGAACATCTCGTAGCCGAGCACGCAGACGCCGCCGCTCTCGTACCACTGCTGCAGCTGGTACGCGCGCTCAGAGTTCTGCTTGTGCCTGTAAAAAAAAACAAATTATCTTTATAACGGGGCAAAATGTTTGTTAATTTTTGAACAATTAAAGTAACTGGCAACTAATAATTTTGAGTACTGGCTGAATGTGCATCGCATGATAGATGTCAAGCGGCGATCGAATGACTGATGACGGTTGTCTTTGAGTGGTGGAATGATGCGTTTTGTTATTATAAAACAATTGTAACCAATCTCTGTAAACGTTAAAAATTTCATAAAGATCCGTTTAGCGTTTTAGGCTACAAACTCTAACAAACATCCATCCATCCATCTAAATTTTCTCATCTATACTATTATTATAAAGCGTAAACACACTTCTTTGTTGCCTAAAATGTCAGTAATTACAGCATATTTCTGAATAATTATTTTTTTAATAAAAAGTCCTACACTTACGTCACGCTTTAGGCTATATATTTTCACGCCATTAAACTTAGGGAGTAAATATTTTGCATAAAAGCCCTAATGTGGGAAAGAGACCATAAGTTACTGCCAACATTAAAGAAGCAAGGTTGCCATGGTGTGTCATCATGTCATGTCATTTTGACATTTGCAATTAATAATTTGACAAAAGTCAGTAATAAAATAAAATTTTCATAATTGCACGCGGACGGAGTCGCGGGCGAAAGCTAGTTTATAATAATAGTAAGAAGTAAGATTGAAAATAATTCTTACCTAGATAATTCATAAACATCGACTTCGCTTTCTCTATTAGCGTGTTTCAGCCACATTCGGAACTCATTGACCCAGTTCAGTACTGTAGATAGGGGACACACCACCAACACGCGGTTCACGCCTGTTAGGTCGTTGTGGGTCAGCAGAGTGTGTGTTAGGGATACCACCTGGAAACATATTATTAGCTGCCGCACTCAGAAATGTCAGATAAGCATTGTAGACAGTTTTTATTTCATTAGAAGCAATAGTAATGATGTAATAGTGAATATAAAATCCGAAATTTCTTATTGGGTCAATATTTTTATTAACCGTAATTTAACGATTGGAGTATATTTTTCGTGAACCTTATTAAAATATAAGTATTGTATATATCAATATTTGTGCGTCATACCTGTAACGTCTTCCCGAGACCCATACAATGAGCTAAAATACATCCGGAGCCTTTATTCTTTTTTATACGTTTTACGCTTTCAAAACAAGCATCCCACATGAATTTGATACCATTAGCCTGAAACAAGAAACACGATATGAATGTTCAGATAGATGGATGGATGTATGGATGGATGTTTATAAGTTATTCAGAACAATTTTGATTTAGATTAGATAGAATTTTATAAATTAGATAAATTCAGAATCTATATCTATTATTTAAGTTAAAAGCTGTAATTTTTCTAGACTGTTCTATAATAGTCTAGAAAAATTACTGTTTTTAACTTTTTTTTTCAATTCTGCATAGACGAAATAGGCAAAAGCTAGTAACAAACATAGCTTTTGTAACTGTTAATCTCACTCTTTCTTAGTTTACAGTAATATAAATTTTAGTATTTTATTAACAATTCTGAGTTGAATTTAGTAAAAGTGCTATTTTTATTATTTGTAGTAAACATTTATTAATAAATAATACCTGATGTGGTTTTAACTTCTTAACAAGTCCCCTGTCGACTTCAATAAGTGGCTCCTTAGTTTCGGGATCGAAGTCCAGCACCACCTTCTCTAGTTTTACTTCATCAGGTTTACCAGACTCATCAAATTCCATATTATTATACTGAAAAGTTAAATAAACACTTAAAATGTATTCATTACATAAGTACAAATCTATACTATAATAATAAAGCGTAAACACACACTTCTTTGTTGCCTAAGATGTCAGAAATTACAGCATATTTTTGAATAATTCTTTCTTTAATAAAAAGCCCTACACTTACGTCACGCTTTAGTGTAGATATTTTCACGCCATTAAACTTAGGGGGTAAATATTTTGGATAAAAACCCTAATGTGGGAAAGAGACCATAAGTTGCTGCCAACATCAAGGAAGCAAGGTTGTCATCATGTCATGTCATGTCATTTTGATATTTGTTATTAATAATTTGACAAATGTAAAAAAAAATGTTCTACCTGTTATTTCCCGCATTTGAAATTATAGACAACATAATATAGTCTTTTCACAAATGAGACAACAATATATACTTAACATATTAAAACGTAAACATACACTTTTTTGTTATGTACCATTATCACCAATTACAGCATATTTTTGAGTAAACATTTTTTTCTTCAAAATCCCAAATTTCGATACGCTTTAGTCTATATATCTTCACAGTATTTATCGAGGGGGTAGAAAATTGAAAAATATGCACTGCGAGAACGGGACAAAAACTGCCATGGTTACTTACGTCGTTACAAACCTCCGACAATGGCAATGGCCATTATTGTCATTTGAGTTTCTATCATTTGCAATTGCAAGGTAAATAATAATATGAGCTTTTTTTAATATCATGGTGATGAAATACCTAGTTTTCTTTTTTTTTTATAACATAAGATGGCAAACGAGCAGGCGGCCACCTGAATCCGCCAAAATGGCGAAGCGACTGCTGCCCATAGACATCTGCAATTGCAGATGAGTCGCCTACCCTTATCCGACGGAGGAGGAGACGCACATAAAAAGGATATTTCATCTTCCTATGCATCTCCTCCATCGTCAAATCCACTTCCCCTTCCCAACCTCTCATAAGAAAAGGGTGGTAAAGAGAAAGGGACTAAAATTAGGCCTCCGGCAACACACTCATCAGACGAAACACGGCATTGGTTCCACTTCACGCCTGTCTTCTGTGTGGTCGTGGTATTACTGGGGGCGTGCCGGCCTGTAGTGCTAAGATGTTAAAGCGGGCACTACCACTGTGTAGTGTAGTTTCTAATAAGAAGGTAAACTTACCAGCTTTTGTCGTTCAGCTATTCGAGCGATTCTCTCTTTCTCTTCGCGAGCCGCCTTTTTTGTTGCCTCCTCTAATTGATTTTTACCCATTACCTATATAAAAACATAATAATAACATGTTAAGTGAAAATAATTATTTTCTTTTTAGCAAGAAATTATAGGTAACTTTTTTTTTAAATTTCTCAAATTCAAACTTTTTTGAAATTGCCAAATAATTTAAAATAAAAAGTAATTTTACCTTACGTATATTCTTTCTGCCGTGTTTATTTCTACCCTCATTTTCAGTGTCCGAATCTGAATCGTCTGTATCGTCTATATTTTTAATGCGACGTCGTTTCTTCTTCCTGTACAACACATACCATGTAATAATCTAAACAAACCTCACTAGAAGTCATTTAAGAAATATAGACGAGGCAGTGAACAAACATTTTTCACTGGTACTTTCTCTGAAAGGTACATCTATATTATTATATTATATTGACATGTGGCTTTGTGGCTATCAATAGATATCGTTAGTAATGATTATGTGAGAAATATTAAATGGAGTGTCCACTATGTCTACTCTATATACTTTTTTAACTCTTTGCCCTACCCCAATATATCGAAAGGCAAGTTATTGAATCTATTCAAAGTGGACTACATGGTACCCTTGCTCTGTATGTTTGAAGTTTTTCACTCACCCGCTTTCTACGGAAGAATTATCATCACTATCAGCCGGTTTCTTCTTCCGTTTCTTCTTGCCCTGTGGCTCTGAGGCATCATCATCAGAATCCTCGAAGTCGCTCAGCTTGTCGTGCGCGCGGTCCCGCTCGCGGCGCCGCGACGACCCCGCCTCCGAGTCAG